GGAAATTCTGGAGGTGGAGACGGATAAAAGCGACTGAGCCCCAGCTACCATAAGAAGGCTGAGACTGTGAGAAGAGAATAAGGGGGAAAGAAAAGACTGTTCAGGCAAATAGAAGAGGTTTTATCTATGGTTTTGGCAACTTTATGTTTTCTTATGTAAATATTAGATTTAACCGCCCTGGTTTAAATTCTAAATGGACCATCTTTACTAGCAGTTCAGGAATGCAAAAACAGAGGAACGGTTACCTTTTCTGTTATTTTTGTTATTCTAGTACATTGAAAGGTTGTTGTTTTCTTGCTTGTATGATTAACAGAGCAACTGTGTAAAAATCAAACATGTCTCTAGGTTGGACTTTCTACTTTGAATGTTTTGTTCATGTGTAGGTTTGAAAATCTCAATGGTTCTCTGTAATGAAAGACAGTAAAACTTTGATTCCAAGAAAACATTTAACACATTTGATGTTTTTTATATTCTAGTTTTCTCTAGAATTGACTCTTTTTAATACATCACTGTTAAAGCTGTAGGAAAATCTATAGCATCTGCCCCTTCAGTGGTCTCTGAACGGCACCGCTCTGGTTTCTCTCATCTTTATCTGAACAAAACCTCATAAAGCTTTGTTGTGATTCTATAGTTAAATTCTATTCCCAGCCCGCTGGGAATTTATGTTTCTGATACTTTAAGATGTTTATTGCCCTCCCCTGTAGGGGTGGTAAAATATCTTATTTAATCAGATATTATTTCAGCTGTTATATAGTGTTTATGACACACAGTGCTACTAACTGTGTGTTAGAACAATAGATGAAAGAGTGATTCAAGCACTAATCATGGTCAAACAGTTATTTCTGCACATACATGGAATAAATTCACCACAACTTCTGTTCAAAATATAAGGTTTTATTAACAAAAATCATTCAGCTCCAAGTCAAACATATTTTAGTTTAACACTCTCAACTAAGACTAGTAAAACTCAACTAAACTAAACTAACTACTATGTACAAAGAGGAAGGGAAAAATGGTTGAAAAACATATTACAGTTTAAGATGTATTCTGTGTTTGAAACCAAAGTTTATCTGGAAGAATTTGGGATATGATCAAATTAGCTTTTCACTAATTTTAAGGACATTGGAATGTTTTCAGACCAATTCACAATGCAAATCCATGAGGTGAATAAAACATTATTTGGCCAAATAATGTTCTATTGAATGATTTGCTTAATCAAGAACCAAAAACCTTTAGCTAAATGATTCTTTACCCTCTTTGAAATAGCTAGCAGCGAATAGACATCGGGATTCCACTAAATGACTCTTGGTCATACTTGGCAATGGAAATGTAATGAGCATTTGAGGAACACGTGAACACTAATGTTCTATCAGTGTTAACTCCTTAGTGAATAAAGCTTGTCTAAGCTTTAGCAACAGCTCAACACATATTCCTGTAGCATAGCGTAGCATGCAGTCCATTCTTTAGCATCAATTAGCGTTGTCTTTACTGAGCAGTAAACACACGATATGATTAACATCATCAAAAGACACATTGCTTGTTCTGTCCCTAATCATGCCAGACCTGCAAACCTTTTTCCATGTCCGTTTGGAAAGCTTGAGTTTCATCCAGTTTTGCAGCTCTGCAGTCAGGGACTCATTGTCTCAGTCTCACAGCAGGGGTCCCCTCAGTCTCAAACCAGGGCATGCTCTTCATCCAGTTTGGCTCTGTAAGTTCTGAAACTCAAGAGAAATGTGTTGCAAAGGTTCTGTTTGCAGCAGTTAGGTTCTGAAGAGTTCTGACTCATCCTTGATGGTTCTGGGGATCTGGTTTCCCTGGGGCCTGCATCTCCACTGTGGGCCACAGTGGGCCCCAGCTTTGAGAGCAGGAGCAGAAGCAGGCTGGATCAGACGAGGGAGAAAAAGTGAAGAGCAAAAGAGAAAGAATCCTGTGTGCTCTGTGGTTTTGTTCTGCCCTCACAGAGGGGGGTAGGTTTTCACACCTCTGTGACTTCCATGTGACTGCTTTGGCTGAAAAAGGGGGGCTGCTGAAGTCCCCCAGCTGTTATTCACCAAAGCTGCGTTTTCTTCTCTGGTCATCCTATCAGGATGAAATATGGACACTGGTTCCCACTGTCCAAAAAGTATGATCATGGCAAATGGCATAACAGCTTTGATGTAAGAAGTCCTTTTATCCATGGAGGAGAGTTTGAATCAATGAGCAACACTCAAGTTCTTTTTTTCCCTTTACATAAGAAGGACACTGCTGAACTTTTCTGTGGTCCAAAGGTCACATAACTACAAGCAATGTTTTATGTTTACTGGACACATCTGTGTTTCGTAACACTACAGCCACTGAGCTGCAGTCATAGAAATATTAACCAAAAACTCTAAAGCTGGCTGCGCAATCCACTCCAGCTTGTGTTCCTTTATTTTCTCCCCTTTGGTTAAACTGCAGTATGCCAAGGAAAGCATTTCCCAACTCCCACTCTAGCAATGATTGTCTAAGTCAAAACCTGACATCTTTGTGCTTAAAAATACAACTTTTTCTCTGTCTTGTGGAATGTTCAATGGACTGGAAAACTGACTTTTTGGTTGTTATTAGCTGTGAACCATTCTTATCAAATTCATTAGCAATTAAAAATTTGTATCCTTCAATTCAATTCAGTTTATTTATATAGCACCAATTCACAACACATTTCAACTCAAAGCACTTTACAGTTCACCAGATCATGCAGTCAAATTGATTAAAAGTTTTCTATCTAAGGAAAACCAGTGGATTGCATCGACTCATTGACTCTTCTGCAATCTCTCACACTAAGAATGCTTGTAGCGACAGTGGAGTGGAAAATCTTCCTTTTAACAGGAAGAAACCTCCAGCAAAACCAGGCTCGGTGTGAGCGGCCATCTGCTGAGGCCGACTGGGGTTCAAGTAGAAAGAAAGCATCCATACAGAAAGAAGCAGAGACACAAAAGGCAACTGTAATGACTCCTTTTGACCTCCTTTAATTAATAACTCTTAGGTATGTTGGTCATGACTGGCTGCAAAGTATTTAAAAAATTTATAATTTTGGTGAAAGAAATATATTTCCATATATGTTATTCTGGAAATTTAACAGAACCCAGGAAAAGGAAACTGCATTTTAGAATTTTTAAGAATAACGCGTCATTTTTACATTTGTTTCACAAGTAACATATAGGTGAATGTTTTAAAGTCTTAATCATCTTTTGTGATGTTTTTTTCTTCTTTTTGATACAGGCTGTAGCTCCTTTTTCCTCTTCAAGCGGATCTTTTTGGGGTTGAACTAAAGGGGTTCTTTTTTTTTCTTCTTGAGGGAAACACCTCTCAGGACAAAGCATGTGAATGCTGGAGCCAGAGCCCACCCCGACAGCCTCACATAACAGTTCTTCGCAGCAAGCAGAACCTCAGTTGGGAGCCAGGCGAAGAACAGAGACACCAAGTACTAACAGCAACAGAGATGGCATCTTTAGGACTGCAGATTCTTGGGGTTGCTTTGGCCATGCTTGGGTGGCTAGGAAACATCCTGATCTGTGTGTTGCCCCTTTGGAAGGTCTCTGCCTTTATTGGGAACAACATCGTTGTGGCCCAGACCATATGGGAAGGCCTGTGGATGAGCTGCGTGGTGCAGAGCACAGGTCAGATGCAGTGCAAGGTCTACGACTCCCTCCTGGCTCTGCCTCCAGACCTCCAGGCAGCTCGGGCCATGATCGTCATCGCTATCCTCTTCTCTCTGTTTGGCCTTCTGTTGTCTGTGGTTGGCGGCAAATGCACAACCTGCATCGAGGATGAAAGAACCAAAGCCAGGGTGTGCATCTCTGCAGGGATCTTCTTCCTCCTAAGCGGGGCTCTGTGCCTTGTGACTGTGTCTCTGCCAGCCAACAGCATCATCAAAGACTTCTACAGCCCTTTGATTCCAGATGCTCAAAGAAGAGAGCTTGGTGCCTGTTTGTATGTTGGCTGGGGAGCAGCAGGACTGCTGCTGCTCGGCGGGTCTCTCCTGTGCTGTCAGTGCCCAGCAGGAAGGGAGCGCTACAACGGAGGGAAATACTCTGCCCCTAAATCCACAGCACCAGCAAAGGAGTTTGTCTGAGCTGCTGAAGAACAGAAAGAAGCTCTCGCTGAGAAGGAAACAACGGAACCAGTCTCTACTCAAGATGAAATCTGCATTTTGACTAATTTTCTTTGACTAACACAGACTCCTTTTCTGTTGATGAAAGATGGATGGATTAACTCGTGAAATTTTAAGATTTTTCAGCTACTTTCTTAATTCTTCATTGCAATGTCAGATATTTTCTAACTCAATAGACTTTCTTTTTTTTTGAAATACAAGCACTTGTTTTCTATCTAAGCTTTCTGTTTTTTTTTTATAAAATAAACACATTTTTTGTCAAAAATGTCTTCTTCTTTTTTTTAGAAGAAACTACGGTATGTTATCTTTAATTAGCAGGCATCTCCTGTTATGTTTTACAAACAAAAAATAAAACGTGTGCTGCACTAAACTTAAACCTACATAAGACAATTATTTCTTTATCCAGATATATTTACCTAAAAATTAGTTGTGAATGAAATAGGGGCCTATGGGCCATGTGCACAAATGACTAGTTCTCTATTAATGACTAAATTTGTCTTGCACCACAGGTGGGTTATGCAGACACTGGAAAAAAAAAAAAGAATAAACACATATCATGTTGAGTATGAGTGATTATATTTCATCAACCAATGTTTTAGAATTGCTTTGCTCTTCTAAATAAAATTCCAGAGACTTATAGTTGCTTTAATTAAACTTAGCTAAATACAAATACTTTTATGGAAAAATAGCCTGTTTTACTGCAAGGAAAAGACAACAAAAAATCTCCAAAAATACCAAATCACACAAAGGAATTGTAAAGTTTTTCCATTACTTAATATGGTAAATGGGTTATTGTGTTTTAAGTATTCTTTGTTGTTAAGCATGTTACAACAGAAATCATAAATCAGTTTTAGATAGAAATATACTGTAGTTTTAAAGTACATTCAAATTCTATTTTATTTGCAACATCATGAAACATTTTGACAGCAAATGTGATGGTTTTGAATTTAACCTTATAACTCTTATACAGCTAAGGCAGCACATTCCTTTTAAAAGTGACCTTTGAGGAAAAAAAAGCAAAGAAATCATTTTGCCAAACTGTTTTTTTAATCAAGGTAAAATACAAACTAAAGATTAAAACCCGCTGGTGAAACATGACACATCAATAGTTATATAACTGCATTTTCTTCCAGCATTGTGCTAAAAAAAATGAAAAAAGCGATAAACAGTAAGGTTCTTTTTTGGCTGGGCTTTTTAAAAATCTTTTAATTCCTTAATAAATGCATCTATATGTGAAGAATTAAAGATGTTCAAAGCATTGCATTTTCCTAACCAGGCTGAGCAGATGTCCTATCACAGAGCAAGCTGAAAACATTCATGCTTTCAACACATTAAACTGTTCCCTGGCAACATGGGTTCAAGCAAACGCAGCCCTCTGTTGTCTTCCCAGTGACATCCATTTTACTCGAGACAGAAACACTAAATCAGTGTCTCCACACAAGCGCAGTCCATTACAGCATGGCCAACATCTCAGTCGGTTACAGTAAATTCCCAGGCGGCTCCTCAGCTGGATTCCTGTGAGTCTTATCACACAGCAAACAGTGTTCTCACAGAGGAAACGTCAATTTAAACATATGTTGAAGACATTTGGAAGATATTTGAAAATTCTGCAGTGTTCTGCAACTCTTCATACAGTGCTGCTCATTTAATGTCCATTTACAATTGTGTCATTGTGGAGAAATAGTGCAGTTAAAAACAGATCTTAGAACCATTACATATAAGCAATGCCCAACCCAGGCTATTCTGGGCAAGAATTTGATGTTTTCTTTGAAATCTTTAAAATTTTATCACTTGCAAAAATGTAAAATTCCTTTAATGTGCTTCAGGATTTTCTATATGTATGGAAACTAAATCCAACAAAAAAAAAATAGATCATTACAACTTGGAGGTCTTAATTTCGGTTTATTTTTTAAATTAAAAATAATAAAAGTACTTTAAAAAAAAAAAAAAGCAAAAGAGATTTTTTAGTATTTGATCCAATAATCAGAGCAGACAATGGGAAATTTGGTTGATTCAAGTTTCTGGCTGACTGGTTGGTACATCCTTCATAAAGGTTCACACGACTCAGATTCATCATAGCTTTGCTTATTTATCATAAGACAAAATATAAGTAAAATATCATTGGTTAAATAATGGCTTTAAAAGGCTACTCAAAAATCTTGCTAAAATATTTTAATCATCACAATTTAATAAAAAAGACTTCATGACTAAGAAAGAGCTAAGAAATAAAATGAAATGTTTTTTTTTTTAGCTATTACTATTATTTCAAAGTGACTTAAAAATGCCTCTAACCAAAGAGCTTACACATAGTCCATATTTGATGACACGGTCCTTGCAGGGCCGAACTTGGCTGGCGTGTACGGTCTGTTGTCTTTTGGGGGGCAGTTGTTGCAGAGCAGACCTCCTCCTAGAAGCAACAGGCCTGCAGAACCCCACCCAATGTAGAGTGCAGCTCCCAGCTCCCGTCTCTGTGCGGCAATCACCATGGGGTTGTAGAAGTCTCTGATGATTGCATGAGCTGACCAGGAGACGGGTATGAGGATCATCACGGCTGTTATAATGAAGATCACCCCAGAGACGATGCAGGCTTTGGCTTTGGACGCCTCGTCCTCCATGCAGTTGGTGCACTTCCCTCCAACAACGGCCATGAGCATACCAAACACCCCTACGATCACAGAGATGATCACCATAGCCCTGGCAGCCTGCATGTCACTAGGTAGAGCCAGCATGGAGTCGTATACCTTGCACTGCATCTGTCCTGTGCTCTGGACAACGCAGGTCATCCACAGACCCTCCCAGATCACTTGTGCGGTGACGATGTTTGCCCCCACGAAAGCGGTGACCCTCCACATAGGCAGAGCGCAGGTGATGATGGTGCCCAGCCAGCCAATGAAGGACAGCAGGATACCAAGAATCTGAAGCCCCTGAGAAGCCATGATGAAGCCAAATGAGTGAAATAGTAATTTTTTTCTTCTTTGTGGGGTTTTACAGCTCCGTGGTCCCACCTGTTTGGATATGCTTCCTCCACTCTGAACCTTCGAAAGTTTCGGTTGTGTGACAATAAATAGCTCCCGTTGTGGTCGAGACTTCTGGGTGGAGTTTCTGTTCTAATAGACAAAAGGTGGGTGAAAGCTGAACCCTGATATCTTCAGACTCTTACACACAACTCATTGTTATTGAAAGCAAGGCTTCAAGATTAGGAACAATGGCTTAGTTTGCAGCTGTGTTTAACCAAACACACACACATTTAGGTCAGCTTAGGCCTCAAGCAAATGTGAATACTTATGTTACTGCTGTAGATTTAGCTTCAAAACAAGCTTAAAGATGGATTCTTCAACAAAAGGACAAATCCAGATAAGATAAATTAACAATGATATTTTTTTCTTTACTTCAGGGTTGATAACTGCATATTTACAGCCAGGAACATTAAAGATGCATTAAAGGAAACGTCTGAAGTGTTGTTGTTGAGACTAGAGTCTGTAGGACACCAACATTTTATTACCCTATATGAGTTGGTAGAAGAGTGGACTAATCCTGGGAATGATAGGGGCTTGAATCTAGTTGCTTTATCTAATTTAGGCTAAAATTGTGACCATACAAATGCCATATGCTTTGATTTTATTATTTCTTTTAACTCATCCTTTCTCAGTTATAAAAAAACAAAAACAACTGTAAAGGTGTGAGGCCTTAAGTTTTTTTTTTCTGGGTTAACCACTGTGCAATAAGGATGTCTCTTTCAATTCATTTCATTTCACTTTATTTATATAGCGGCAATTCGTAACACATGTCATCTGAAGGCACTTTCCAGTTCACCAGATCATCCAGTCAAATTGATTCAAATTTTTCTAAGGAAAACCAGTTGATTGCATCGACTCATTGACTCTTCTGCAATCCCTCACACTAAGCATGCTTGTAGCGACAGTGGAGAGGAAAATCTTCCTTTTAACAGGAAGAAACCTCCTGCAGAACCAGGCTCAGTGTGAGCGGCCATCTGCCGAGGCCGGCTGGGGTTCAAGGAGACAGAAGCAGAGATAAAAAAAAGGCAACTGTAAAAGGCGGCCCCGTCCAGGAAACACACAGCCAGGCAGACGAGCTCCGAGCCAGCTCCCATGTCATAGGATGAAGAGAGCACATCGAGCCAGTCACAGTTAGTGAAACATGACTATATCTATAAACAAAGGTGTTGATGGCAGCAGGACAGCTGATATGTCTCTTCAGGATGGAGTCACAGCCAAACAGGAGCAGATCAGACTTTAACAAAGTAGACATTAACAGCCTGTGGAGTAATCAGTAAGTTGAACTGAAAGATTGTTGCTTACGGTGGCTGTGCTAGTACTGCAATCATTTCGTTGCCCGTAGTGTTTCATATTTTAGTCTCTGCATTTCTTACTTTCATGGGGGAGCTTATAGATCCCTTCAGGCGAATTGTATTGTCCAGCTGTTGCTGTTTTGTTTGCAGCTCTACAGTCTTTTTATCCTTTTAACTCTAGGCCCCAAACAGTTGGCTAGCTTCCCTTTTGTATCACAAGCATGAAACGGTGCATTCTGCTCCATATCGAGCATCAATATCTATATCAAACATTTCCACAACATGCTAGCATTATTCTATATGGACTCTGATAGAGTTATCTAATGATGTCTGGTAGCACGAGTTTGCTCAGAAAGAAATGAGATTTTCGACTTAGACGCACTTTAATGTGGTTTTGTATACACAGAGTGTATAGAAAAATAAAATTTCGTTTATCCAGCTTTCCAACAGTAAATGAGGAGAAGCTTCGCTGTGAAATGAACATTTTCATCCATAAAGTGCAGCAGTGATCAAAAGTAAACAGGGTGGGAGAAACATGGTGCAAAAACGCATTGATGTCGAAGGTTCAGAGCAGTACAAAAATAAATATATATGGTGCAAAATGCAGTAAAAATATTTGAGTTGAGTTTTATTTTGAAGATTCACTATGTAGTGTAAGAATGATGTTATCAGTATGATTCAGAGTCTCGATTTGCAACATGATTTAGAGTTTTTTCAACAGTTCAAAAGTCTAAAGTCAGTGGGGAAAAAGCTGTTACAGAATCTGCTGATCCTGCATCCAATGCTGCGATGCCTCCTCCCAGAGGGCAGCAGGGACAGCAGTCCATGGCGGGGGTGTGAGGGGTTGCTGATGATGTTACGGGCTCGGGACACACAGCGCTGGGATGAAATGTGATCAGTTCTGTCAATAATGATTCACATAGAATTCAGCAAACACACAATTAATGGCAGAAGGATCAAATCTTCATAAATAGCCGAACAGTAAATAAACTGATATTTAACACTCCATCATTTTCAAATTATTTTCTTGATCAGTAGTTAAAAATGCTGAAAGAGGTGAACTTTTAAAATATAATATGATGAAACAGAAATGCACTGAAATAAATGTGGGTACAAATTAGAGCGTCACAATCTTGCTGTCAGTATCTAAGCACAGCTTTAAAAAAAAGTTTATTCTCTCTCAAGTTAAGGGTAGAAAACTATGATTTTCCTAAAATATTTTTAGAATTTTGTTTTGTTTTGTTGGTTTGGTTGAACCAGTGTGTTAGGAACAAATTGCACTTTGTAAGTGCTTGTGCTTTTTAATGAATAACAATTTCTATTCATCAGCAGACATTATAGCTGGTCATTTCCATGCTTGAACTTCAATGTTCACACTAAGTCTATCAAGATGTGACTAATTTGATGGATTTTCTAGACCAGCGGTCCCCAACCTTTTTTCAGACAATATTTTCAACGACCGGCCTTTAAAGTGTGGGGGGTAAATACGATCAAATAAAATGATACAACTGGCATAAAATTAAATACAAACAGCATAAAAATAAAACTCACAATTATGTTGAATTAGTGGGAGCCCTGAGCTTGTTTCTCCGAAACAAACCGGTCCCATCTAGGCGTAATCGGAGACAATGACACACGAATTGTGCTCCTGATGTCCAGTCTTCCCAGTCTAGCTCTGTTTTGGTCGCTGTAACCGCAGAAAATCCCGCCTCACAAAGATAGGATGTTATAGATAGGATGCGTCTTGACCTGAATTAACCTGTGTCAAGAGGCACAGATGCTGATGTAATTGGGAGATAATACCCCAATGTCTTATATTTTTCAAAATAAAACATCACTCAGACTCTGATCGTCGATAAATCATAAATATATATTTTTTTCTGTGCGGCCCGGTACCAAATGACCGACGGACCGGTAACGGTCCGCGGCCCGGTGGTTGGGGACCGCTGTTCTAGACTAAAGTCTGATTGATCTTAAGCTTAACAATTGTAAACTTTAATCTGGCATTTTAAGATTTATTTCATATTTTCCTGTATCTGTTATTAAAGCACTTCTGTTTCAGTGTCTATAAAAGGTACTAATTGGAAGAACCTGGAAGATATTAAAGGTTAAAAGTAACCTTTAAAAACTGATTTAAATTACATGTGGCCCCTGACTTAAACTCATGTGAATGTTTTTTAGTTGCTTTGCCTGATATCAAACTGAGGAGGGAGTAAAATACGCGGGCAACGGCACAGACGCATCAAACAATTGCAGCTTATCACCCAAATTAAATAATCAAAATAACCAGAGGAGACAAAACAAAAAACATTTAACATATGAAGGTTTTCTTTGCTGTACAGCCAATAAATCATGTTTAAATTTATTATTTTACAATAGTTATTATGGTTACAAATAGTTTTGTAAATTTGTATAATTTTGTATATTTTTATTAGATATTATCTTGCTCATTACCTATTTGAAAGAATGTCTTGGTTGAAGAAAGAAAAATCTGTTAAATATGAATGAATTACGTTCTTAACTTCTAAAAGAAATGTAATAATCTGGGTTAATAATAACTTGAAAGATGGATCAAAAAGATTGCAACACCTTCTACCTTGGTTTAATAATCTGAAGGGGTTAGGTTTAACAAAGCCCTCTTTTCATGGTGTTGGTAAAGGAAATGTTCACACTCCTGACATGGCTTAGACGATTGAAATCATTGTGTGATAAAAGCTTACCTGTAATATTTTCAAAGAAACCTTTTATTCACAAAAAAACACCCTATATTGTTTGTTTTGTGTAGGGAAACACAATGAACTTAAGATAAATAAAGATAAGGCGTGAATATTTCTGCTAATAACTTGAAAAATTGCCCTTCAGATGTTGACTGTCTCAGTTCCCCTGCTCGGAGGCTGAACATTTAAACAAAGGCGGTCAGCACTCATCTTACTTGATTTTCCAGCCACACCTAAACCTGATCAACAGGAAAGACAAACAAAGGGCGTCTTTACACTGCTGGGCGGCTATTTCTTTTCAGATGGGCTTTTGTTTTGATTGAAACCTTTGTCAATCATTAAATATGTAAATATTAGGATAAATTTCAAAATATCTACTGTTAGAAAGCTTATAAAATATTTAAATTACATCATTCATGAACTCCAGTGAAAGATTGTTTTTTGAGAAAATGTTGTGACATCACACACTGACTCAGAGGTGTAAACAAAAGCATTTTTATTTACAAAACAACTACCACACAAAAAAAAACAACACTTGGCTGATGAGTAATTTTCCACATACAAATAACCAAAACAGAGCTTTCAAAAATAGTTACAGTCAGAAAGAGACGTAGTGATGTAAATATAAAGCTAGAGAAATGCATACTAAGGTCCACACATCATTTAACACCATAAATACAAGTAATGAACACGTCAAAGGAAATTTGTTCTTTGGGTGTGGTTCTTATCAGGATGAAGCGTTCTATCATTTTCACTCCCGACCCAGCAGCACCAGTTCATTAGTCCCAGTAAAATTCTCCAGAGCTGCTTTAAACATAGTCTTTTCCGGAAACAGGAGCCGAGGCATCAGATCTGGCGGCTGCGTACCTTGCAGAGTAGCCATCTTTATCATTGCGGGGGCAGTTACTACAGAGCATCCCCCCACCAATCAGCATCAATGCAGATGCACCCCAGCCGATGTAGAGTGCGGCCCCCAGCTCTTTCTTCTGCGACTGGTTCAGTATAGGGCTGTAAAAGTTTTGTATGATGGTGTGGGC